GGAAAATGAAACGGTTTTTTGACTATTACAATATCAAGCATGTTACAGGTATACCATACAATCCTACAGGTCAAGCAGTCATAGAAAGATCAAATCGAACTATAAAGGATATGTTGAATAAACAGAAAGGGGTGGAAAACACCCCCAGAAATAGGTTACATAATGCTTTGTTAACCTTGAATTTTCTTAACGCTAATGAGAAGGGGACAACGGCTGCAGAAAGACATTGGATAATGGAAAAGTCTACTGAACTAAATCAACCAGTTTATTTCAAGGATGTGCTGACCTCACAATGGAAGCCAGGAGATGTGCTGCGTTGGGGAAGGGGTTTTGCTCTTATCTCCACAGGTGAGGAACAATTGTGGATACCGTCAAAATTAATAAAGGTTCGGTATGAAGAAGAAAAGCCATTTGGAAAAGATAAATAACAATTCATTCACAAGGATGGCGAGCATACTGATGGTAAGGAATTCAGGTAGGTTGGGGGCAGGGTTTTTTTTTTTTTTTATCTCCACAGGAAAATACTGATCTTCAAAGAATTTAAGGGACCCTGAATATTTAATAACTGATGGATGGAAAATAGTTACGACCCACTAAGACTCAACAGTAACATGAGTAAGTATTGATTATATATATATTTTCTTTTTTCTCTTTGAACGCTTCTTTATAAATATGTAGAGCTGGTTTTGGAGTTGGACTATGGCTCAGTCCCTCTTCAATTCCAAGCCTGTTGATAAGAGATATCTCAGAGTTTCTGTCTCAGATCAGGAGCCATGAAATGGGACAGAATGAGGATAATTATATACTTGATAAACTTTCTTTGCTTTTCCTCATATCTGTGTCTTTCTTTATATGTCAGAATATGTCCTTGTTGTTAATGTTTAAATTTCCCATAACAAGCAACAAATTTCCCTACAGTAATTTTTGAAGTTTCCAGGATGAAGATGGGGCCCCACAACATCAACTCAACCTGGTTTTTATGACGTCATGAATATTTTTTTTCTTTTTCTCTTTTTTACGCGCTAATATGAGACCTGTTTTTTGGTACCAACTGCACAAGACAATTTCGAATGGTGCACATTTTTGACAACACTCTGGCCGGACCTTCTCAAAGTGCTCAGGGACTAGTTATAATTTTCTTAGGTCAAAGGTTAATTTGGGAATTTTACCATCATTTGCTTTCACAGGAGCCCCTAAGGAGAACATCGCCCCCATGTCAGCTTGAAGCAATCTTAGAGGACGACGTCCCCTCTCCCAACAGAGTTTGCCCTCAGGGTTAGGGACATCTTTTAGTGGTTGGTTTGGGGTTGAGGGGATGGGGAGATGTTTTATGGAATTAGGGGTATGTTCAAAAAAAAAAAAGGGGGGGGGATTAACTGGTTTGATGGGATGATTGGTATTTGTGAGTTACTGTTTTTAGAAAATTGTATTGGTACTGTTTTCTGTATATTGACATATTGAATATTGAATGTGAGTGTTCCTACCTCTATTTTTGTATAAGAATATGCTTATATTGTATTGATACATCTACCATATCACAATGTACATTTCTACCTCTGATACTATTTATGTAATAACATTGTTTACATTTGATATGTAATGACATTGTTTACAGATGAAGATCATTGTCTTCATATATTGCACAGTTGTTTATTGTTTTAGTCTTTAAGTTAGATAGATATTGAGAATTATATAGATTAATAGTCATCTAAGTTTGTCATTTGTAATTAGACTAATCAGGTTCTTTAGATATATAGAGATTATACTCAGTATAGATAGATAATCTTCAACCTCTTTGGAGAGCTGTAGAATATGGCCTTTAATATAACTCAGAGTTTCGTGATAGTGAGACACAATTGCTCCTGGCAACACCGCTCTATTCCCGAGAGAACGTTGAGCACCAAAGACACTCCACTGGGAGCTTGTCTTCTTGGCAGAACTGGCCTTTGGGTTAAGAAAAGCCCATACCTCAACCACTGACAAAGATACAGAGCGTGCATCAATGGATACAACAGGACTGTCATATCCTGCCAAGACAGGGTAAGATAGTTTTGAAAAGTTCCTTGCCTTTAATAATGGTATGTCAGTTATGTTAGGCCTTAGCCAAAGTTGGTTGACTCAACATTGCAAACGAGACTTTGGGTGATTGCCCAGGTAGTCAGTTGTCTTTGTCAATTGTTACACATTTTGGATATATCTCGTTTGTTAAGTAATATTTATTCCCTTCTCGGATCTTTGATGGAGTTGAAGATTATATAATTGTAGTTACTCTCTACATTATTTAGACTCCTTGAGATAGAATGTTTAGCAAAACTTTTGATTCTCAATATTGTTTGTTACATTTATTTGTTATTATTGTATATAGTTGTATTTGGTTTAGTTCTGTCTTATTTAGACAAAAGTGGGAGATGTAGGGATAAGTCCCACCCCTTAGGGGGTGTGTTCGCCTCAGGCTAAAGTTTTCCTATAAATTTGGCTAGCGTGCTCCCAGCGCTCACTTCTGCTTTCCTGGTCTCCGCGGGAACGGTGGTTCTGTAAGTCTATTCCTCCATTAAAGCTGTCTATATTTTGACAATCTGTCTGCATTCGCTTACGCTGTTACAGTATACCATTCAAGACCAAATATATTCACTAGAGATGGGGGCTTTCAAAATTGAAGGGGCTTATAGCACTTAAGTGCTGAAAGGAATGTTGCATCTTTTCCTTGATGAAGAGTGCTATTTCCTGTTAATCAGTCAGGATTGGTCAGAAATGCTGAATAAAAATTGATAGGCCATGTCAACAAAATTCAGCAGCTATATGAACCATATTACTAATGGTGTAAAACTTGATTTTTTGATTATTACCCTTAGCAATGCCATTCTTTGTTTCTCATAGTCCTACTCTTCAGAAATCTGTTTCTTCTTTCCTAGAGGCCATGCACTCTATTACTTCAGTATTTCTGATCAACCAATCTTAAAACAAGATTTAATTCTCCTGTCTTAGCTGGATCATTTGGGGTGAGAGTTTATGATCCCCTATAAATAGAGAACACATATTTTATAATTGGTAGCAGTTACTGAATATCAGGTCTTCTTTGTTTCAGCTTCTCATAAAGATTTTATTTTCAAAGATCATGTCTCTCAAGGACAAACAAGGTAGGAAAATAAACCCATACATGTATATGAACCATAAATAAGTTAATTTGAGGACTCAACAGTCAAAAAATAGTCATAAAATTGCTTTGGACCATTCTAAGAATTATAAAACCCCACTGTCACCAGAAAGCCAGTCAGTCATCTGCAACAACCTAGAAAAATAGTCCCTTCTAACACTCTTCTGTAACGTTTTGATGAATAAAAGTTCCTTAATCAAGAGAAGTAGGTTTTGAGGTGGCATGCTTATACAAGCCTGATCCATTCTGTGGAATTACTTCATGCTTTTACTTTTACCTTTCAAAAAGTTACATTTTCTGTGTTAGAACTCCATAGTTTTCTCATTTTGTTCAAGTTACAAAGAACCCAGAATTTACTTCAATGGTATACCACTGATACCACCTCTGGAAAAAAAAAAAAGCATAATACATTCATTGCCAAACTACCACAGTTGAAATGCATTATTGTACACTAATACCTATAAGAAAATGGGGATTGAATTCTTGAAAATGAAAAAAAAATAGCATCTTACTAAAAACTGCTAAATGGCACGGTGAAGTTCAAATCTTTGTCTGCTTAAGTTCAAAGTAAATAGTATATACAACAGCTATAAGGTATTGTCTTGGTGTAAACTTGTAAAGTAGTATATCACTGTTATATAATATTACAGCAGAACTGTTCTTTGAGATTAAACTGCCTTCTCTTCACTGCATTCTACTATGAAAAAAAGCAAGTATACCTGACTAGAAGTTTCACTATGAATAATCCTGTTTTGCTTGGCAGGAACCAGAACATCTGTAACAAATTTACTTTAGAATAGTAAAGGTTCTTCACTTCTCAGTCATGTATAACAACTGAGAGAAAGAAGGCAAGTCATCATAATGTTTAACTAGTAGAAAAATAATGTGCCTAACTGACAAATTCCAGGAACTACTTCGAGGAGGTCAAAATGGATGACATTGTTCTTGAAAGTGACCAAAAAAAAAAAAAAAGAAAGTTGGAACACACTTGCATGATTTGACTTTTCCAGCATGTTCATGTTGCTGTCCCTTTCACTGTCTTATAAAATCTCCTTTATATGTTTTCCTTTCGTAAGTACTGTCATTGTGTGCTTTTGTTTTTGTTTATTTCTTTTGATTAGTACATATATATGCATGTATGTCTGTTTTTTGAGGTAATTGATATTAGATGTCTCCTAACCTTTCCAGTGTCTTTTACTGGAAAACCTTTTCTTTTCTGCCAATTACCTCCCATTTACTGGTTTTAGTGCATCAAGCAAACAGGTTATATATAGAGTGTAGTGTTTTAACAACAAAAGTATCTTACATGACTAAAAATACTTCTCTTGCATATAGTAACTTGGTCCTTGTCATGTGTAATATTTTAAATATTGTGAAAAAGAAATATGTTATCTGTGATCTTAGAAGGGAGTTAAAATTAAGGTTTTGCTATTGTTGTTTCTTGTTTGTTTTTGTTTGTTGAGACAGGGCTTCTCGGTATAACAGTTCTAGCTGTCCTGGATCTTGCTTTGTAGAACAGGATGACTCAGAACTCAGAGATTTGCCTTCCTCTACCTTCAATTTGCTGGGATTAAAGGCATGTACCACCACCACCCAGATAAAAGTTAATAATTTTCAAACCCAAATTAAGTTCAAACTTAAAAAGCACTTATAAAGAAGATGCTTTAGTCAATGAAACACCCTTGGATTTTGAAGTTACTGACAGAAAAACAATACAAGGGAGCCCTATTTTTGAAGATTTAAAAGAGAGAAAAAGGCAAAATCTTGGATTTTGAAGTTACTGACAGAAAAACAATACAAGGGAGCCCTATTTTTGAAGATTTGAAAGAGAGAAAAAGGCAAAATCATGCCACTCTTGAGAGTGGTAGGATTAATCCATGCGAACATGCTTTTGCTTAGTTCCACCATAGGGGCAGGGATTTTTGTGACTCCTAAAGGAGTATTAATATACTCCTCACTGAACATCCCTGTTTGTCTGAGTATTTGGGCCTTGGGTGGCCTGCTGAGCATGATGAACGCTCTTTGTCTTGCAGAGCTGGCAACCACCTTCCCTGTGAGTGGAGCATCTTATTTTTTCCTCAAGAAAACTCTTGGATCCTCTGCTGCTTTTCTGAGTCTTTGGATAAAACTTTTTGTTCATTTACTAGGCATTGGTGCTCAAAGCCTACTAATAGCTAGTTATCTAATTCAACCTTTCTATTCTGGATGTCCTGTTCCAGAGCTCCCAAAGAAATGTCTGGCTTTGGCTGCTTTGTGGTCATTTGGTATTCTCAGTGCTCGGCAGATGAAAACAGTGGTTCAAGTTCAGACTATCAGCAGTCTGATGAAAATAGCTATTCTTTCTCTCATTTCTGTAACTGGGATTGGTCTGTTAGTAATTGGAAAAGATGAGAATGTGTCCAGATTTAAGAATGTTTTGGATGCTGAACTTCCTGATGCCTCACAGATTGTAGAAGCCTTTCTCCAAGTGTACTATTCATATTTAGGAGCATCACTTCTGATCAACATAGCAGGTAAATCTATCCATAATATCTGACACTATGCCATAAGAGTGTGTCTAGAATTTAAATGGAAAAACTTAATATTATTGTTTCATGCTCTGTAAGGAAATGCAATCTTCTCTACAAGGTGGGGTTATAATAAATGTACCCATGAATATTCATTAATGTAGACTTATAAATTTTAGTTTTCTTTCATTCATGCCTTTTATATAAACCTGGGAAAATTAAGAATTTTCAAAAAAGTATTGAGATTTTTCTGTAGTCTTAGTTTTATTTCATGTGATCCCACCATCTTGAAATAAATAATAATTACAAGGAACAGGATTAGTAAGTTCACACTTATACACAGGTCTTAGATATATATACTTTACTTATATATACTTTACTTCAACTTAAAATTTTGTTCTCTTCCCTGACATACCCACTATCAACACTATCAAGTTCTTTGTGAGTAGTCGTCACTCTTGGTGCATGTGCATTGAAAACTGTAATGTAGCTTCATATATTATACATATATATGTATAGTAAAATGTCAAATAAACTTTATTCCACTTCATTAGTATAGTTACTTAAACATTCTGAAATGACACTTCTCACTATTGTGAGCATGTTAAGTGTCTCTGATATTTTCATATTTGACACAGTGCTATAATGAACATTTTTGAGAATGCAATACTATGTTTTGTAGAACTATAATTCTCACCCAGGTTTCAAGGTACCAAATGAATTTGATAATATTTGCCCATAAATCTGCCTGCAATATCAAAAAGATTTAAAGAAGATAACTCATTACTTATCATATAAAGTTTTATTAATTTTTCAATAATTGCTTAAGATACAAATTGATGAGTTTCATTGTGACATTTTAATACCTGTTTGTTTTAGTTTGGGTTTTTATTGTTGTGATACAAAAACCATGACCAAAAAGCAACTCAAGAAGGAAAGGGTTTATTTCATCTTACAGTTTGTAATCCATCATCC